GCTTGAGTTCTCATAGAGTTGTGGAAGAGTGGCTATGTGCTTCAGGAAAGAGCAGTGGAACAAAATTACTGCGGCTCTCAACTCCAGTAGTGCCGCATCAGCAGCTCCAGCGGCTCTTGCCCTTGCTGCTGCTGTATTTGCCTCTGTTTTCCTCTGACCATCTTCTGAACTGGCGAGGCGGAGCTGTAAGTTCTGCGGAGCTTGTTCTGAACTGGCGGAGCGGAGTTGCAGCGTACGCACGGCTGCCACTTCGACTTCCCAGCAGCAATCAAAGACGAGTCCCAAATATCTGAGCTGTGTGCGGCTTAGGTGGGCTAGTTCCTTTTCTTCAGACTCTTGTTTTGATAGCAACGTTTTAGTCTGCAAATGCTGCCCGTTTAGCCAAGCGATTGTGCATACGTGACTGCCGTTTCACCGGCCTTTTGCCGGCTGAGCATGAACACAAGGAATCGGAAGTTTCCGACTTCGGTGACTGGATCCTTTTGCTTCCTTGCTACTTGTACAATCAACCTACAATATTCAGTAGGGGCATATAAGAAGAAAGTAGGAAGCGTCGCACTGTTGTCTGAATGATTACCTAGCAATTGTGTGTCAAATTTGACATTTTTTGCTTTTGAGTGGAATAGTTTCAAGTAGGCTTGCTGTTGCTGCATAGACAGAGTTATGCAGATGTAGTGGCCCACAGCGTCGGTTACTTCAGTGAAAAGGTGGGAGCGTTTGAAACAGCAAACCGAGCAGTTTTAGATCAGCTGATGCTGGTTCTTTCCTATGCTCGAAGATGCATATTTTTGCGCGAGGCAATGCAAGAAACGGAGCAAGACAGTGATGAGAAGTGCGTCGCGTAGTAGATGAAGGTGGGGTTGCCGTAACTCATTACGATTCTCCGCAAACGAGCTTATAAATAGCCAGCTAGTGCTAAGTAACCGGAGACGGACACCTCAAGTGCCGGTGGCGACACTCCTGGGCTTGTTTGTAGATGTCATGATGAACTCCCGCAAGGAGCTTGGTCCCAGAGCAAGCCCCTACTGCCCACGTTGGGAGATACCTACTACTATTGCCAGGTGGTTAGTCAACGACTACTCGAGGAAAATGCGCCCGATGGTGGACCACGGCCGTCGAGGTTTCGATGCCACTTCATTGAATGCCGCTGAACTCAGAGACATCCATTACATATAAAGGCCAG